TCTCAAACCGTTTTACCACCAACCTATTTCCTGTTTCAGAAAACCTTTTCACTCCTAGAGTCATCTCTATACTATTTTCAAAACCCTTTCAAAACTATGTCAAGCACTCCTACTTTACTCTTAAGTCATTAGGTTCTGCCCCTCCGGTGTGTGTACTGCCTTGGAGTCCTCTTGAGATTCCTCTGTACTCTGGCACACTAGGGCTGGCCCTTCCACACTGCACATATTTAGTCCCTGTTGTGAAAAGTCTGGGTGTGAGCACTGCCCGGGATCCTTGAGGTCCTTAGGGAACTCTAGCACACCTGGACATAAATTGGCAATGAGAACTCTTGGCATTTGAGACTACAGAAGGCCTGGTATACCAGGATTTTCTTTGGGCCTGTTTCAGGCTCTCTATAGCTTAATTTCTATTCTATTTTATGTAATTTTTATTCAAGCATTGGTCTGTAATAATTATTTGTAAACAGATAATGGGGTGACTAGTGAAAAGGGGAGGTTAGTTGTATACTGTGGGTTCAAAAATTGGGTAGATAACATGCCTATATGATTACTTTGGTTCAAATGTATTTTGTTAGATAACATGTCTATAGGATTTCATTTTGGTCCAAATAAGCGCTGCCTGCTTTACTTTATATAATTAGACACCATGCCTATAGGAAATAAAATAACTAAGGTTCAGTCTCATTACGGTATATATTCAAATCTGTCTCTTTAGAGATCATGCCTATAGGATCTAAAAATCAGTTTTAATTAGAAATCATACCTATAGGATCTAAAATCAGTTTTAATTAGAAATCATGCCTATAGGTGCTGAATCCGTTTAATTAATTATCCTACTCGTTTCTTTAGTAGTCAACGCTGTATTATTCAATATCAGTAGAAAGCATGCCTATAGGATAGAGGACTCAAAAATGATTTTTCCAGAATTGCGACTGCTATTACACACTCAGGCAAACCTCAGGGCGTTCAAACTAAAACCAGTTCTATTTATGTGTGAAATTACCCTGGCTTAACAGGCTATAAAACCAATAGGCAACTGGTTAGGAATTCTGCCACTCTCCTTACATCCTTAATCTGCAACATTCACCTAGATACTATGTTTTAGGATTTCCTGAACTTTCTTTAAAACTTGTGTTTTAGACGTGCTGTTTGTTTACCTATATACGTGTGGAGGTAAATGCCATCCTTCTAAATGCTTGTCTTTATCTGCTTGTCCTATGTGTTATTTGCCTGTCGCCTAGACTTTTACCTTTTATAAACCTTAAGCTGTCTAGAACTGTCCAGATTTAGAGGTCCCAACTCCTCCAGGACAATCAGGAAGAGACGGGTAGCAGCACGCTTAGAGGTCGCTAATTAAACTCGCTCATAACCACTAAAGGGGGAAGGGGTAATGGGTAGTAAAGGATATGATGACTATGCACTAATGTCACGTGTAGCCCCTCATTGAGGAGTGATTACCGGGCATTGCATGGGTATGATCCTATAGGCTAATCAACTTAGGACTTCCCTTTCCCAATTCCCGTATGTGTTTAAATTCTCTAAATTTCCTTTATTTACTCATATATGCATAATAATAGGCGAAATCTAGGTGATTTAGCTATTGTTTATGCTTCCGCTTAATTACATTTCAATGACATAATATGGTTATTTGATGAAAAATAGGCTCTAATTGTGATTTGCGTACATTGCAGGGTGAGGAGCATATATTATGATTTCAAGAGGTTATTGGAATGATTGATGAGCAAAAACGATCCCTCGGAGTTGAGTGCATGCAAGAACAAGACGAAAAATTGGAAGAAATCAAACCCCAGGAGCGCGAAGACCGCGCGAAGTCGCGCAGAGTTCGCGCGTATTACAAGCCAAGACAGAAAGGCTCGCAAAAACCGCGCGAAAGGCGCGCGAAGTCGCGCCGTGCCGTCCGGAAAAGAGCTATTTAGGGGTAAACTTGGAAATCTGGAAAGAAACCTACTTAACCTATATAAAGTCAAGCTCGCCCAAGGTCAAATCATCAAGGTTTTCATAGTTTAGTGCAAGGAATCGAGAGGCAAGAGGCAAGGAGGAGTTTGGACTATCAAGTTCTTCTTTTCTTCTCGTTGTTTTTGCTATTTGTGATGAAATTGAACCTAATTGTGATGCACACTAGCATGAGTGGCTAAAAACTCATTGTTCTGGGGTTGTGATTTAGCCATGAATATTGTCGTTCGATATTAACTTAACCTTGATTATAATTCATTCAAATATGGTTGTTTCTTCAATTCTGTGTTTAATTGCTTAATTGTCTGGCCAACAGTTAGGTTCTATTTACTATCTATGCTATGCTTGGGAAAGCCGTGTTTAGATTAGAGAAGAATTGAAGAGAGCATGATCTTAACCCTTAGGGGGAGCGGATTTGTGGTTAGGATAGGAATATACCTAATCACGGTGCTTAATTAAATATCGTAATCTTAATGCGTTCTTAATAGATTAATTCCACAGGAATATAGGCGTTAATCTATTAAGGATAGGTGAGTAGTACTTCGGGAGAAGGCTATGAGAGCACTTATCGATTAATTAGCAACCATGAGTGAATTATATGAAAAGGGAGAGTTAATTAGAACACAATACGATTGGTGAATCGATCACAACCCTGGAATACTTGTCTCTATTGAATACACAACAATCAACTCGTTCTTGATAATTTAGTTATTACTTAGAATTATAGTTAGCATAATTAAACTCTTGAACCTGAATTTAGCTTGACGGAATAACAATATTGGTGTGTTAGTGAGTAGTTGATATAAGTCTCTGTGGGTTCGACACTCGACTTATCATTTTATTACTTGTACGACCACGTATACTTGCGTGTGCGTTTGGGAGCAACACCAATACAAGACCAGATCTTTCTTATGTTGTTCAAACCTTGAGCCAATACATGCAATCCCCACATTCTGGTCATTTTCAAGCAGCTTTGCATACTTTGCGATACATCAGTGGATATCCTGGTCTTGGTTTGTTCATATCTTCTAATTCCTCTTTTCAAATTTTGGCCTTTTGCGACTCTGATAGGGCTTTCTGTGCCGATATTCAGAGATCTGTTAGCGGATTTTTTCTCAGCCTCGGGAGATGCCCAATTTCTTGGAAATTGAAGAAAGAACCAGTTATTCACTCTCTTCAGCAGAAGCAGAGTACCCATCTATGAGACGACTGGTGGCAGAGATTACATGGGTGGTGCGTCTTCTTCAAGATCTCGGTGCTCCGCCTCTTTTACCAATTCCCCTCCACTATGACAATCAATCTGCGATACACATTGAAAAATACCTAGTTTTTCACGAACGAACTAAGTATATCGAGCTTGATTGTCATTTTGTTCGTTAAAAACTGCTTGACGGATTGATTTCTTTGTCTTTTGTCCCGTCTTCTTCTCAACTTGCTGATTTATTCACTAAAGCTCTAGCTGGTCCACTGCATCGATCTCTTCTTAACAAGTTAGGAGTTCGAACTCCGGTCTTCCACTTGGGGGTGTTGCCAGAAAAGATTTCTCCGCTGCAGCTACACGGATTACAGTCGATGGGAGTGATGGGATAACAGAGTGACCTAGTCTTATTTGTAAATAAATGGAAAGATGGGTTATGTATTAAAGGGTCTAAGTATAATACACTTGGACATATTACTAAAGGCAATGGCTCACTCTCAATGTTCCTGATCTGTGGTCCAGATGAAGCCAGCATTTTGCTTCTAGAACAGTCTTTGCAAGGATAATTTTGGTTTTACACTTTGTAAATAATTTATTTGTATATTTTCTTTTACAGTTGGTTACAAAAGTTTGTTAGGATAGATAGGATCCTAGGGTAGCATGCATCAGACAGAATAATGTGTATATATACATTGTACTGTACAGTCCTTTTTACACAGGGAAAATGGAAATAATCTTTTCGCAGCTTCTTTCTTCTTGAATATTCATAGACTCTTCGAGAGATTTTGAGATTTCATTATCAATATTCTCATTAAATTTTTTCTTCCTATATATCACATGTTTCTTATGAAGTCCGGGTTCGAAATTCATTTCAAATGCAATTTTCTTGTCAGAAATTATAGCAGTTGCAAATCCTTCTTCTCTATATTTGTTAAAGAAATAAATCAAACTTATTCACTTGACATAACTTTTTTAAAACACACACACACACACACACACACACACACACACACACACATATATATATATATATATATATATATATATATATATATATATATATATATATGTTTAACAAAAAATGGGGCCCCCCACAAATGTGAGGTCCAAAGTAGTTGTGATACGATACAGCTTGCGTCTGAGGTACACCGTGCTAGTTGAGTAGTACGTGGTAGTTAAGTTAGTTAACTATAAATATTGAAGCTAAGTTTTAGATATGTTAGTTTAGCCCGGTTAAGTTTTAAATTATAAGTTCTAGGAATTACACTTTGGTCCTGTAATTTTTCTTGTCTTTTATACAAAAGGTCCATATAGCTAAATGAAAAAAGGGCTCGAATGTCAGATGAGAGCATATCTTCTCACTCACCTTATATATTGTAATTACACTTCCTAGTATTGGATATGAATGAGAATATTCCTTATTTTGCCCTAGTTTTCCTTTCTTTTTTACTTTTCTTCTTTTTCTTTCATTTTTGCCGCAGCCTTTTCTTCTTTTTACTGTTCCATTGAACTCTTCCGTATCAGTGGTATCGGAGCTCTTTCTTGGCTCTGTGGCTATGTCGGGTGAGTTGAGTGAAGTCATGAACACATTACACAAAATTTCTGCTGAGATGTATAATTTCTCAGCTCGACAAGAGCAGCTGGAAGCTGCACAAGAACATAACAGCAAACATCAGGAGGAGTCCTTGAATGAGCTAAGAGAGGTCATCAATGAGGTGATTCTTGGGGGTAAACGACCTGAGAGGGACAAGAGGACACAACCTGCAGATGGTGAGCTATATTCCCCTAGTGATCAACCATTTGATTTTGGAGATTTGGCCATACCAAATACCAGCAATATGAACACTGCACCAGTGAGTACCTTCACCTCTTATGTCCAAGCTCCTAATCTAAGTCCTAGACCAACTGTTAGTAATCCTATAACAAGTGGTGTGAGTTCTGCTCCCATTCAGCTGCCTGGAACTCAACCTCAACCACCTACTCGTTCAGTCATGGTAAGTAACCCCCCTTTACCTCCTCCTCTACCTTATGTGTTTCCAAATATGCCTTCTCCCAATCCCAGATCTATTCCACTGCAACCCCTAAATTTTCCAACCCCACCTCCCAATGGCAGAGGATACCAACCTCTAATGGCTTGGACTCAAGGCTCTCATACAGGAGTGATACCTCATCAGCCTGCCTATACCCAGTCCATACAGTTTCGCCCTTCATACTACACTCACACTGGTCATATTCCTCCCCCTCTATACTATCAGACACCCTATGTGCCAACTCCACCCCAGTACCAATATAACAACATAACTCCCAGCCATCCACAAACTCAGAATAACCATACCACACCCCTACCCAACATACCCTATACAAAGTACACTAAGGTGGATTTCCATAAGTTTGATGGAGAGGATTTAAGGACATGGCTGTACAAAGTGGAGCAAATTTTTGCAGATGAGGAAGTGACTATTCAGCAGAGAATGAAGTTGGTATCCTTACACTTTGAAGGAGATGCCTTGTAATGGCATTTGGGATATATGAGGAGTAGGGTCCAGATGCCCTTGCCCACTTGGGATGAATACTTATGGGCTCTTTGTGATAGTTTTGGAGCAGAATACTCAGACCCCATGACAGAGTTGATGAATATCAAGCACACTGGTTCTGTAAAAGATTATCAGAAGGCCTTTGTGAGTGTGATGACAAGGATCAATCTCTCTACAGAACATGCCATCAGCATCTTTCTGAACAATTTGAAACCTGAGCTCAGAAATGCAGTCAAGGAGGTAATCCCACAAGCTTACCACAAGCCTACTACCTGGATAGATTGCAAGAAGTTAGTTTTGCTGCTCAGTGCAAGGCAATCAAGGGCACCATTTATGCTTCAAGTATACCCAGACCATTTACTAACCAAGGCAACCATAGTGTATTTAAGGGGAATCAGCCCTCTCATAAGAAACCAGTAGCTACTGTTTTTGATAACAACAGGACAAGAAGACTAACTCCTGCAGAGATGGATGAAAAAAGGGCCAATGAGATATGTTTCTTTTGTGATGAGAAATTTACACCTGGTCACAAGTGCAAGGCAAAGAGGCAGTTGTATTCCCTAGAACTTGAGGAGGAACAAGTCCCCCTTTTAGAGGAACCAGAAATTGAGGAAGAGGAGTTCACAGAAGCAAAAGAGGAAGAGCAGGAATATGTTGAAAATTGTGAAAGCCAATCAATGTCTAAGGATATAAGAGTCTAAGGATACAGGGCTCACTGAACAAAAGCCAATCAATGTCTTGATTGACAGTGGCTCAACTCATAATTTTATAAATGAGCAAACAGCCAAAAGACTGGGGTGCAAGGTATACCAAATGAATCCACAGGATGTCTCAGTTGCAGATGGAAGGGTGCTTCAATCAGTGAAGGCAGCAAGGGGTTCACATGGTTAATGCAAGGGGTGGTGTTCACAGATGACTTCTTGGTACTCCCTATTGGCAGTTGTGATGTGGTGTTGGGCATACAATGGCTGTGCAAGTTAGGGGATATTCAAATCAATTTTGCAAAGTTGTGGATGCAGTTTTCATACCAAGGGAAATCAATCACCTTGTAGGGAAATTCCCCCTCCTTCAAGACAGTGCAAGCCAAAATACTTAACAGTGTACCAGCCAACACAGCTCAATTATTGATGATAAAGGTCTGTCATAAGGAAGACCTTGAGAAGGAATCATTTCCAAAGGAAGATGGGGTACTTATGGAGATACAAGTATTATTGGAAGGATATAGAGAAGTGTTTGAAGAACCTAAACAGTTGCCTCCTTCAAGAGGAGTATTTGATCATCACATTCCCTTGGTTGAAGGCAGCATTCCTGTGAATTCCAGACCTTATAGGTACTCACCTATTCAGAAGGATGTAATTGAACAAATGACACAGGAAATGCTGAATCAAGGTATCATCCAATACAATTCTAGTTCATATGCATCTCCTGTTGTGCTTGTGAGCAAAAAAGATGGCTCCTGGAGGCTATGTGTGGACTACAGGGCATTAAACAAGCTGACCATCAAAGACAAGTTCCCCATCCCTATTATTGAGGAATTGTTGGATGAGTTAGGAGGCTCAACAATTTATTCCAAGATAGACCTAAGGGCTGGGTACCATCAGATTAGAATGTCTCCACCAGACATTCATAAGACAGCCTTTAGAACCCACTCTGAACATTATGAATACTTAGTTATGCCTTTTGGTCTAACTAATGCCCCTTCAAGCTTTCAAGGACTGATGAACCATATATTCAAGGCTTACATGAGAAAGTTTATTCTGGTTTTCTTTGATGATATATTGGTGTTCAGTAAAAGCATGGAAGATCATATCCAACATCTCAGAGTCACATTTGAATTATTGGTACAACATCAGCTCTTTGCCAAAAGGAGCAAATGTGTCTTTGCAACTGACAAGATTTAGTACCTTGGACACTATATTTCTGCTACAGGGGTGGCTACTGATCCTAAGAAAATAGAAGCTGTCCAAGCTTGGTCTACACCTGCCAGCCTCAAATAGCTAAGGGGTTTCCTAGGTTTGGCAGGATACTACAGGAGGTTCATCAATGGGTATGGAGTCTTGAGTAAACCCCTCACTGATTTACTCAAGTAGGATAACTTTCAATGGTCTTGTAAGGCTACTGAGGCTTTCAATAAGTTGAAAGAGGCCTTAACTTCTGCACATGTGTTGACCTTGCCAGATTTTTCTATTCCTTTTGTGGTGGAAACTGATGCTTGCAGCCTTGGAATTGGAGCAGTCCTAATGCAGAATGGACAACCAATTGCCTACTTAAGCAAGGGGTTGTCTCCTCGGCACCAATCCTTGTCTGTCTATGATAAGGAACTCCTAGCCTTAGTGATGGCAGTGAACAAGTGGGCTCAATACCTAACAGGCAGATCTTTCACAGTCAAAACAGATCAAAAGGCACTCAAATTCCTTTTAGAACAGAAGCTGCACACTGGCTCCCAATTCAAATGGATAACTAAGCTTATGCAGTATGACTTCATCATTGAATATAAGAAGGGGAAGGAGAACAAGGCAGCAGATGCCTTGTCCAGATTACCCTTAATAGAGTTGGCTGCATTGACTATGTCCACAGTTAAGACTGACCTACTGAGCCTCATCATGCAGACTTGGGCTCTAGACAATGAGCTCACTGACCTTATTGCCCAGCTTAAGTCTGGGAATGCTGAGTTGAATGGGTACTCTTTTGTGCATGAGCAGCTCAGAAGAAATGGGAAACTAGTAGTGGGTCCTGATGATCAATTTAGGAAGGATATTATCCAATTGTGGCACAATTCCATCCATGGAGGGCACTCAGGTGTAGATCACACTTATAGGAGGCTAGCTGCCCTTTTCTACTGGAAGGGTATGAAGGAGGATGTCATGACACATGTTAAGCAATGTGATACTTGCCAAAGAAGCAAGTATGAGACTACCCCTTATCCGGGCCTGCTTCAACCTTTAAAATTACCCTCCCTAGCTTGGAGCAGCATCAGTATGGATTTCATTGAGGGTTTACCCAAATCCCAGGGCAAGTCTGTAATTTAGGTAGTTGTGGACAGACTGACAAAATATGCTCACTTTATTGGTGTCTCACATCCATACTCAGCTAGTGATATTGCCAGGTTATTCATGGATCATGTGTTCAAGTTACATGGAATGCCGGAGGATATAGTCAGTGATAGGGATCCTGTATTTACTAGTAAACTATGGCAAGAGCTATTTTCTATGCATGGAGTTACCCTCAGTACTTCTACAACATACCATCCTCAATCTGATGGTCAAACAGAGGTCGTCAACAGGTGTTTGGAGACTTATCTCAGATGTTTCTGCTCTGATTCACAAAAGGACTGGTTCTCTTATTTGGCTGCTGCTGAGTGGTGGTACAACACCACATTTCACTCCTCGATCCAAACTACTCCCTATGAAGCCTTGTATGGCCAACCTCCACCACTCCATTTACCCTATATAGCTGGAGACTCAGTCGTGGAAGAAGTAGATAGAAACATGATCACTAGAGAGCTCAAGTTGCAACTGCTGAAATACCATCCACAGAGGGCACAACAAAGGATGACTACCCAAGCCAACAGACACAGGTCTAATCGACAGTTCAAAGAAGGTGTCTGGGTTTACCTTAAAATCCAACCCTATAGACAAGTCACCATGTCAGGTTCCCATTTCTCTAAAATATCAGCCAAATACTATGGTCCATACCAGATTTTGAAAAAAATTTGGAAATGTAGCCTATAAACTCTCCTTGCCTTCACAACTCCTCATCCACCCTACTTTCCATGTGTCTCAACTCAAAATTTGCCACAAGCTACCTGAGCAGATTTTCCATCCTCCAGTTCTTGATATCTCCAGCCCCTACTGTCCTCAACCACAACAAATTCTAGACAGGAGATTGGTGCAAAAAGGGAACAAGGCCATCACCCAAGTTCTGGCCCAATGGGAACAAACAACACCTGAACAAGCCACTTGGGAGGACTATCATTCCCTGAGGACTAGGTTCCCTTCTTTCCTTCCTTGAGGACAAGGAAGATTTTGACACCGGGGATCTGATACGATACAACTTGCATCTGAGGTACACTTTGCTAGTTGATTAGTACGTGGTAGTTAAGTTAGTTGATTGTAAAGATTGAAGCTAAGTTTTAGATATGTTAGTTTAGCCCGGTTAAGTTTTAAATTATAAGTTCTAGGAATTACACTTTGGTCCTGTAATTTTTCTTGTCTTTTATACAAAAGGTCCATATAACTAAATGGAAAAAGGGCTCGAGTGTCAGATGAGAGCATCTCTTCTCACGCACCCTATATATTGTAATTACACTTCCTAGTATTGGATATGAATGAGAATACTCCTTATTTTGCCCTAGTTTTCCTTTCTTCTTTTCTTTCATTTTTGCCGCAACTTTTTCTTCTTTTTACTGTTCCATTGAACTCTTTCGTATAAAGTTGCTTTACTTGTTGTACAAAAGGGCCATCCTGGAGGTAAAGCCTCGCATCCTTCATCTGTAAAGAAGCACAAAAAAATTTTCATGGCGGCTGGGGACATGAGATTCTTACAAACCGTAACTAGGATCTTCTTATGTCCAAATTTGGTTGAACAACTCTTAGATACATTAAAAACAATAACTTTTGCTAAAACTTTTATATTGCCGCAGAGAATTTCTCGGTTATCTAGAAAAAACAAAATGAAATATTAACACCTACACTATGTTGCTACACATGAAAGAGAAATAACTAAGTAATTTTTTCCTTTGTATAAAATATTTGAAACTTATCTATCAAAACTGGCCTAATTTTGTGTATTACCCGTCCTAAACAAGGATTACTTACAAATTATATACAATTCATTGTTAGTGTCTTATATTAAAGGATTTAGTTACATATTTTTTCTTTTTTTTCTCCTCTCCTCTTTCCTTATTCTCTGCCGCCTCTCTCCATATATAATCCATTATTAGCGCCTTAAATTAAGGGATTCAGTTACACCTTTTTTTT